AGCCAGGTTCACCTCGGCCCTCATACTTAGCATCTGTTAACGCTAGTGGTGGTGATCTCGGCGGTCCGAGCTGGGGCATGACTCATGGGTCACCTTGGGGCACCAATGGCTGTCCTCCACGTATCCTGGRTATTCTTTCCCCCRAACAAATATATTTTGGGAAAGTCACCTATAAACTATAAGCATTGATACAATCGTAATCTAAAAACTTTCAATTTAATCGATGACCTCATAAATTATAAAATTATTGCTACTMAACTTTATTGTCATAACATTCATAGTGGTTGGGTTAAATTACAAAATTATTGCTRCTMAACTTATTCCAAATATATGCCACTACTCAAATGTTTGGAAAAATATTACCTCATATTATTTGAAAAAATGAATTGAAAAAATATTATTTTCTTAAAGTAAAATGTAGTGGTAAATGTTTGAGGGTAAAATTGTAACAATTTTCACCGATGTYTAGTTAGGTTTTGGATGTTTTTCCCATAAATTAAGGTTTAATTATTATTTTAGTCTCTATACTTTCAACTTTGATTAATTTTGATCATCATACTTTCAACTTTTGTTCATTAAGATCTCTGTATTTTGAAACTTATACTTCTTAAAAAATGACTATTTTAGTTAATATTTGCAAAAATTTAACATAAATTCTACRAACAACGAAAACCCTTTTTTTAAGTATAAATTTATGCCAACATGAACTTAGCTCAACGGTAATTGACACATGTTTCTCAGCAAGAAATCATGAGTTCAGATCCCCTACCCTTGCTGTACTGAAAAAAAAAAAGAAAAGTTTATTCCGTACAATTCTACGGGAGTCTAAATGGACATTTTAAGAGTATATACTATATGGAAAAAAAATTAAGGAAGCTAAAACTAGACACTAAAGGTACATTGACCAAAAATATTATTTAAACTTAAAATTAATATTTAGAAAAATATAATTATGGACTGGGCCGGCCCAGTGCCCGTGCCCGAGCCCGAAGAGCWCTGCAATTTCCCAAACCACAATCAAAAACCCTAAAGCCGCCATTGTTTTGCAGTGTTGCAGCAGAGGAGCTAGCAAAGGTGTAGTTCAGCTTCAGAGGATCGGAGGCCGTCTTCTTCTCCACGCGCCGTCGCCATGGGTCGTATGCACAGTCGAGGGTTCGTCTATTCTTTCACTGAAGAAACCTCGCGTTTAAGATTCATCGAAAAACCTGTTTAGAAATYGCGAATCATTTTTTTTTTTACTCTGCTTATTTGCATTTGCAGTAAGGGTATTTCAGCTTCGGCACTGCCGTACAAGAGGACGCCGCCGAGTTGGCTGAAGATCTCCTCTCAGGATGTAGGAATCCCTCAAACTTTTGTAGATATTTGTTTAGAAATCTATGGAGTGGATAATGTATGTGTTGGGATAGTGGATTCATATGAATATCATGGAGTTTTTATAGAGCCACTGAATAATGAGGGAATACTGTAGGCTTGCTGATTAAACGTGGATGCGAGAACATTTGAGATAATTTAAGCAGTTTGCAGTTCAATATTTTTATGATGATTTCATCTTGTGGCCATGCATTTTTTGAACATCAGAATTCCTTAGATTCTTTTATCTGTGGTTAGAAAGTTAGTTCTTCTTGGGAAAGATTGCGTTTTAAGTTTTAACAGATTGAAAATGAAAATCGTCGCAGTTGATTTTAATGGAATACGGTGATATGTTTATTAGTGTCATCTGAGTGCTTGGTCTGATGATTGTTCTTGTGAATATCTAAGATAACCGAACAAGTTCTTCCATTGTCGATGTCGATTTAACTGTTTGTTAGTCTAAAGGAAGGGAGTCGAGTCTCTGTAATATATGTAGAAATTGATGGCTTTCCTTTGACCATTCAGGTTGCCGAGAACATTTGCAAATTTGCCAAGAAGGGTTTGACACCATCTCAAATTGGTGTTATTCTTCGTGATTCTCACGGGATTGCTCAGGTGAAAAGTGTAACTGGGAGCAAGATTTTGCGAATATTGAAGGCTCATGGTGAGCCCTTTCTACTCCCTTCCAACAAATTTCTTCTGCTTCATACATAGTTCAAGATGAYTATGTGATCTTTTTACCATGTTTTGTTTGTTGGCTCAGGGCTAGCTCCTGAAATTCCGGAGGATCTTTACCATCTCATCAAGAAAGCTGTTTCAATCAGAAAGCATTTGGAGAGGAACAGGAAGGACAAAGATTCCAAGTTCAGGTTGATTCTGGTGGAGAGCAGGATCCATCGCCTGGCCCGGTATTACAAGAAGACAAAGAAGCTTCCCCCTGTTTGGAAGTAGTAAGTACTTTTGAGGCTCATAAGAATATGAATTATAGTATCTGAACTTTTACATGAAAATATTGCATAGGGTAGATTAAATTCAGTTTTTCAACTGCTTTCTGATCTTTAGCCTTTAAATTCAGTTTAATCCTGGAAAGAATATAAAGGATGATAACAAGCAAATCTTTGTTCTGCTACATAATTGGTACTAAAAGTAGCAACTAGATTTAATTTACAATGCATCAACTAAAATGTTGCTTTGCCATGCTTTAATATTGTTAGTGTGAACTGCTAACATGTGTGTAACTCAGTGGTAATTGACATCTGTCTCTGACCAATAAGTCATGAGTTTGAATCCCTCATTTTTGTGCTTAGGAAAAAATATAGTTAGTGTGAACTTTTGTTGCATGKTGGATTCCGAGACTCGTCTTTATAGAGTTGCATTAGACTTGTTGAGAATCCATATAAATGAATTAAATTTACCCAACCCATCCATATAAATGAATTCTCATTTTTCTCAATTAAAAGTTTGGTTTGTTATAAAAAARATTTATTATTCATCCTTAACAAGACTTGAGAATTTATATACATGTATATAGCATGGGCATTGGAGATCACACTCCTTGCAATTATGCTCATGGAAAGCCCCACATTTAGTCTGGGTTTTGAATCATCTGTTACTTAGAGTATATCCCCAAACATCCAAGTCCTTAACTTACAGCGCATCTCCAAACTTGTCGATCCCTTACCTTAGATCGTATCTCCAAACTTGTCAATCCCTTACCTTAGAGTGTCGCCGATCCTTACAACTACAAATTTCTTAAGTCCTTACCTTCGAGTGTATCTCCAAACATCCCTGATCCTTACAACTAGGAGACTTTCGAGGATTTTAGACTTATAAAATTTGATTTTGGCATGCTTTTATMTTTGATTGCGAAATTGCACCAAGTTTTTTGTATTCTTTCCAATGCTGAATTCTCAAATTGATGGAGAGAACCATTCTTTTTTTTACAGTGAATCCACCACGGCCAGCACCCTCGTGGCTTAGGAGAAGCAAGTTTTTGGTGATTACTGAGAGAAGCATGGAGTTATTTTGGCGATTAAACTTTCCATCAGTACTCATCAGCAGTTAGTTAATATGTCTTGTGCTTATACTTAAGAGGTCATTCGAGTTTTGTWACTCTTAATGCAAATTTAATTTCTGCTATGCTTTTGATTGGTAGGGTTCTTTTTCTTTTCTTTTTATTTAAAAATAATATTGAACTGACATCTTGATTTAGGGAAAATGAAAGATCGACCTTGAAATGTATTGAATTTTACTATTTTGCTTGGAAAGTGATTTCAACCTATTAAAATTCATCAAGATACATTCCAGTTGAGATGATTTTTGTAAAAAAAAAAATAATAATAATAAATAACGATATAATGTTAATCTAACAATATTATTCGAATTTTTTTAAATTAATCTTTTTTGTCATGGAGTTTCTAAATGCTTGTCAATTCGGATTTGATGGATTTGATTTGATGAATACTTATCTGGTAGATTTATCTCTTAAAACTATTTTTTAATTGTCATGTAAATAATGAAAATTTTGAAAATGTCTGTGATCTCAATATTTTCAGATTTTGAATTTGAAATTCTATCTCATTTTGAATCTGAAATTTTAGAAGATAGAATGGTATTAAATATAAAAAGTTACTTAATATTATAAATTAATTTCACTTTTATTAAAATTAAAACATGTATAATATAATATGTTATAAATTATATAATATAATTAAATAATAATTTTTAAAAACGTATAATATATATGTTATTAAATTAATCAATATTATTTTAAATTGAATTAAAATTTAGTTTGTAATTATCCTAGTTTAAAAATATATTAAAATGGATGGCACTATTTTCCCTTGTTTCCAAATATATTAAAATAGAGTTCACTCTTAATTGCTTATAGACATTTTTTTAAAAATTTTAAATACTATCTAAATTAACAAATAATCATTTTACTCTTTTTAGAGACTTCTGCTTTCAAATTGGTTTTACATCCTAAATATAGCAGAATTTACCAAATGCAATTTCAATTACCATTTTGGTTTTAATTTTTTGAAGACTAATCTTCATAAAAAAGAATAAAAAGAAAAAAAAAAGGCTACTTCCAGTCTACTTTTTACAAAGGTTTCCAAAATCTAAGCCAAAATTTTAAAACTTAAAAAATGGTTGTAGCATGTTTTTATTTTTGAAATTTGGCTGAAATTAAACAGGTTGCTAAGAAAGATTTAAAAAAAAAAACCAAATAAAGAGTGAGAATGCAGGAATAATTTTAAAAAACAAAAAACAAAATGATTATCATAGCCAGAAATTAGTGTGGCCATCCACCCTCATTGCAAGTATAGAAGTAAAACTAATAAAAGCTAAATCAACGACGAGATGCAATCCCACAACTCAAGCTACAATTCAGAAGGGTATATAAAATGGGCACCTCAAGAACATTCCATGAAATAGTTTCAGCCGGCAATTACAAACACAAATGATTCCATGATAAAAGAAAATCAGGGCTAGAGCCATCTGAATCAATGCATCAAAAATTTTCTGCTAAGCAATTTTCAATACAACTGTATTATTTGRTTGATGCATCAAAAACTCGTACCTGTCTCCCACAGATTCAGTCACCTAAAAGTCGTCGTCATCCTCTTCAGCTATATGCTTCGCGAGTTCYTGCTCCTGCTGTTGTCTTTCTCTCCTTTTCTCGGCACTTTCTTTTTCTTTATGTGAATTTGGTGGGAACCGGAGAGCGCGAACAGCCTCGTTATGCATATTCAGGCAAAATGCAATCCTCGAGTTGAAGGCTATTTGAGGTTCGTTGGTCAAGTAGATGTCGCCAGTCTCCTTGGATACCATCCATCCATTCGCATGGTCAACTGTGGCATCGATTGCTCCATCTCGGATTGCCTTGGAGACGATACTCTCCGCATCAGCAACAGGATTTGCACAGTCCAGTCTCAGCTTTTTAGCAACATCAGCCAGAGAGATACGTGAATAAGAAATGCTAATGTTGCGAAGCCCTGTCCTAATAACGTTATGTCGCAGCCTCACAATCAAATTGTTGGTTCGATCTGTGCTGAAAGTACTAGAGAATTTCTCAGCAACGGTTCTGAAAAGCTCCAAGTCACCAATTCTCACAGCCTGAAAAGGCAAACATTATTACTAAAGAGTAGAATAAACTGCAATCGCACGGACATCATCTTGACTCAGTGACAAACTTCAGTATAATTCTTTGAAAAATGCCAGACCTCTGCATTTAAAAATTATTGTTCTTTATGCTAATACGAAAGAAACAAGCCGAGGGAGAACACGAGATCCTGTCCTTCCAAAGACGTACACCATATTTGAGCTAAAAGATATCCTCTTCCTCCATTCATATTTGCACAGTGACAAACTTTGGTATAATTCTTTGAAAAACGCAAGAACCTCTGCATTTAAAAATGATTGTTTTCTATGCTAATATGAAAGAGACAGCCCGAGGGAGAACACGAGATCCTGTCCTTCCAAAGATATGCTCTCCCTCCATTCGTATACACCCATTCACATAATTACCCATACTAGAAGTAACTAACATGTGGGTCCCACTAACAGAAATCCCCTACATCACTAACACAAGATTTTCCACTACCCTCGTCCTCTTCCTACAATATAACCTCACCTTTGTAAGAAAAATAAAACTTACCGAATTCATTTTTGTTAAAGAGAGAAATGATACTGCTTAAAGTTTAAACTTAATGGAAGAAATAACCTGAACGTTTCAAATTTGACCAATAAAACTTACATTAGTAAGTTCAAAGTATGGCCTCAGAGCTGTCTCCATGCCTTTCTGCATGAAAACCGTCCTCTCAGGAATTTCTCCCAGCAACAAGCGAACAATGATTGCCCATTTGTTGCATTGCACTCGGAAACCAAGGGCTGCAATGGGTGCTTTCCGAGCGGCTTGTAGAAGAGACTCCTTTGCATCTGTATACTCCAGCTGAATGGTCCTAATCTTGCCAAGGTAAAACAGGTACCTACAGAACTGTATTAACCAATCACGGTAAGATACATAGCTTACAACTAAAATTCTAATTCCCAATTCTAACAAAATGAGGAAATTTACATCAGCAAAACATCACTAAAATTCCAGCATATGATGCTTGGATTCTTATGCATCAACGTTCTACAAAACTGCTATACTCTAGAACTTCAGAAGCATACAGCCAATCAGGTCAAATCAGAAATTCCAACATCAAATTACCTAAACTATTTAAATGATAGCCAGGTTACACCAATTACAAGCATTTCCACAGATGCTTGTTTCCTAAGAATAAAGAAAATAATGAAACCAAACTCAAAGACACCTATTACAAGCATTTCCACAGATGYTTGTTTCCTAAGAATAAAGAAAATAATGAAAACCAAACTCAAAGCTATAGTAATTAAAAAACTTGCCTGCTGATTTGAGTGAGCTTCAAATCGGGGTGCCTTGGATCTCAACTTCTCTGCTTGATCATAAAGGTTGTAGTGGAGGTAATTACGAAGTAGAAGGTTGAGAAGAGTTTCCTACATCACATTGTTATCCATGCATAAGGTACCATAATATACTCATGGTGGTATGCTCGGAAAAGATCTGAAGAACTACCTGACCCAATTCATCATGGCGCAAGGTTGCAATGCGATGCAGGGCTAGGAGGTTACTGTCAACCAAAGTTTTCCAGTTATAAGAAGAGTATCTAATATACGATTAACAAATCCATTCAACTTTACATTCATCCTCATTCCTATACTGAATAAAATTTTTAGAACCATACCTACATAAAATAACTACCATATCCATATTACAATCTTAGATGATACTCACCCCCTTATTTCAGCAAGATCACCAGTGAGTTCATAGCTGAGGGAGTAATAGAAGTAGAGCCTGGATGCTAGCACATCAACCGTTCTCCTATTCAGATTCTTCAGCCGGGCAATGCTCGCGGAAGCACAAGCCTTAGCCTGAAATTGTCCAGCAAGTACTCAGGACAGCAAGCCAAAAGTTAAAGGCAAAATGTGAAAAAACAATGGTCCCTTAGCATAATACCTCACCTCATCATATTTCTTCTGATCAATCAAAAATATTAGCACAATCAAATAGCAGAATATCTCTATCTCGGGCAAGGGGTGTTTGGCAGGAGCCTGTGTTGCCGAGTCAACATCCATTTCGTAGCCATCATCCTAAGAAAAATTTAAAAACTCAGAACACTAGCACCATGAACCAAAACTTATATTGAAAATACCCACTCAGTAACAAAACAAAGAGCCTTAAAGTTGCATTCTTCGGATGAAAATCATTCCTTCTGTGAAATTTCGGGATACCTTAGGAAGAAATGACGATAACCTTGAGTGAACCTCGGATCCTGGCGGGAGAACAAGATTCAGAAATTGAGAAAGAACTGAAGCCTTCAACTTCCGCCTCAACGCCATAGTCAGACGAATGGCACGAACAATGCGCCGAACTTCTCGGGCATAAGCACCAGTCTCAAGAAGCAACACAATCTCTTTCAAATCTGATTGGAAGAAACCATGAACAAATTTCAAAATCAAGCTCTCTAACGATTGAATAAAACCGCAAAGACTTACTATTCAACAATATACCGAAAGATATTCCATCCCAACCCCAAAAAAAAACACAAGTAGAGATTCGCATTCAAATAAACAACGGCACAAAAGCAAGATTGAGAAAAGGGGGGGATTTTTTCTTACGCTGTAGAGTAGAGGGAGAAGTTGAAGAAGAAGAAGAAGACAATGGAGCAGGAAGCTCATTCATCTCAGCGTCTTGGGTCATCTTCGCTACAACTTCTGAATGAGATATCCCACAAACTACGCAAGTAAATCCACAAATTCCTGGTGGAGAAACGAAAATACAGAAACGAAATCGATAGTTSAAATGGATCTAACCTCAATTAGAGATAAAGCACAGGATCTTGCAGTGAAAAGCGATGAGAGGAGGAGGAGAAGAAGAAGAAGAAGAAGAGAGGGTTTCACCAATTTTCTTCCTGAGCAAGACAATTCAGTAAAATGGCAAGCACGGGGTGAATCCAAATAAGACGACGTCGTTTTGCCTTTTTTTTCTTTTCTTTAATAAAGATAACTAAGAGCGCATGTGTCTTAAAAAAACTTCTTTTAATTATTTTTAGAATAAAAAAAATATAAAAAAGTATAATAAATATATATTAATTTCAAAAATGGAATTAGGGACGGGGTCRGGACCTGCGGAAATCTTTTTCATACCTAATGTAGAGACATAAAAATATGCCAATGAACTTTTGAAAGGTAAATAAATAAAAAGATTTAGAAAGAAAGTTTGTGAAATAACACAAAAAGAGAAAAATTTTAGAAAAAAAAGTAAAATCGACAGAAAAAAAATATGTCAAAGAAAAAAAAATTAGAAAGAAAGAGAAAAATTTTGGTATAAAAAATTTTAGAGTGAAAAACAAAATTCAAAATTTAATTTTTAGAGAAAATAAATAAATACAAAGATTAATTTTTAGAGAAAATAAATAAATATAAAGATAAATAAAAGTTATAGCGAAAGAAAATTGAAAAAAATATAATTTTCAAATGAAAAAATATATTAGAAGAAGAAAGAAACGTTATAAAAAACGAAATTTTAGAGACGGAAAAGTTAAAAAAATATTAAATTTTTAGAAAGAGAAATAAAATTGATCTGTTAGAAAAAAATTTAAAAAAAARGRAAA